CTATGGGGGTCTCTGATGGTCCTTTTATGGTCCTAGGCCTTCTACTGGGTCAGCTCCACTGGGATCTGGGCTTCCCCCGGTGTGGGAGAGCCTTCATCCTCCTGAGCACTGGGCAGGGTGAGTGCACGACGGGAGGGGAGCCGGCCTGGCAGCTGCTGGATCTGTTTTTCCTCCTGACAGCTCTGGAGGTGCACAGTGCTAATTAATTTTAGTTGGATAAGGAAACTGGGCTCTCAGAAGCTAATTGATTTAGGCAAGGTCACCTGGTGAGCCAGGCAGCAGCTTGGGCCTGTCTGATTTTGCATGTCAGTGACCACACCACGGTGCTGTCACCTGGAGGGACATGGCCGCAGCTAACTGGATCAGACACCCACCACACACACCCAGGCGCCTCCCTAGGTCTGACCCAGCTCCCCTGCCAGGCGGCCTCCCACGGCTCCTTCCTGTCCTCAGGGCAGGGGCTCCTCCTTCCCCTTACACTCACACACCCAGACCCCAGGCTTGGGCTCCTCCTAGAGTTCCTGCCTGCTGCACCTCTCTGCTTGGGGCAGGAAGGAATGTGGCCTGCCAGGGTCTGGGCTGGCTTTGCTTGGGGCCTGTGCTCCAAGAGGGCCACACCCTTCCCTCAGTTTTTCCCCGGAACCTCTGGGTCAGGGCTCAGTGTATGTCCAGGGTCCGGCAGGGCTCCGCGTGTGACCACGGTCAGAACTCAGTGTGTGAATAGGGAGGGCCGCTGCAGAGATGCTGCTCACCTGGGGTGATTCTGCCACTGGAGCTGGGCCCTCGAGAACTTGCCCTTGAACCTTGATCCAGGAATTGAAGGTTGCCCATTTACTCCTCCCCTGCCCCTCAGCCTGACTTCTGGGTATTCTGGGACTCTGCTGGGCAGACCCTCTTCAGGCCTTGATCAGACTTCTCCCCACAGGTCAAGGTGAAGGTGCAGCTCTGTCCATGGGGGAGCAGCGTGAGGAGAGGCCATGCCATTCCCTTGGCCGTGTCTGCTAAGAGCTCAGTGGCCCAGACAGTGCCCAGTGTGGAATGGCTACAGAGGTACATGGTCTCCAGTGTCCCACGCCACCATGTCCCAAAGTCTGTGTTCATCCAGTGTCTGTGGTCCCCAGTGTCCCATGTCACTCCATGTCCACTGTCAACCAACGTCTGTGATAAGTCAACATCTGATGGTCACCTGCATGCACTGTCTCAGGTTTCTGTGGGTCAGAGATGGGCTAGTTTTGCTGTACTCCAGGGCACCTCCCAGGCCACTGTCCAGGTTGGCGTAGGCTGCAGTCACCATGCCCAACGGGCAGGGGCAGCTTCCCAGCTCATGTGCAGCTGGCAGGGAGGCTCTGACGGGTGTCGGTGGAGACAGCCCTCAGGTCCTTGCCACGTGGCCTTTCYAGCACAGTTCCTTGAGATTCCTGGGAGTGCTCATGGGGTAGTGCTCGTCACGCTGGACCCAGAGCCGACCCAGGGCTGGCCGTCCACAGTGTAACCCCCCCCCCCCCATCACCATCTCTGCCTCGGCTCGGGCTTCAGGAAATGACCAACCAGTCACCAACCAGGGGACCCATGGGCTGAACAGGGACCTTTGAGAGACCCCTGGCCGTGGGAACCGGTTTCATCTGGCCCCTCCTTGGCTCCCAAATCCCAGATGTGTCTAGGGGATGCTGTGGGGCCAGTGTTTAGGGGCACTCGAGAGTACCCCACTTGCCCTTGGGGCAGTGCCCCTCCTTCCTGGCCATGGCCTCCGACCTCCTTGCTGTGGGGCTGTGGCTGAGCTTCCCTGTGGTCAGTCCCTGTGGTCAGCCGCCAGCCTGGCTGGGCAGGACCTCTGCGCATTTCCTGTGGGGCTTCCCCTCCCTGGGGAGCTGCAAGCCCCCGCTGTACCTGGAGAGCACAGTCCTTGGCCTGCAGGCGGGCATTTCCTGGTCACCTTGCCTTTGCTGTGGTGTCCCTTGTCATCGCACTGGAGTCATCTATGAATTCCTCCATCTGAACTTGGCGCCTTGTTCATCTTTGTCTTTCAGGTTTTTGACAGACGGCTTGAACCTGCTGCACACCATGTGCAGGTCGCCACCTCGCACGTGGTCCAGCGGTCCTAGTCACTTGCAGTGGGTAGCACTTCTCATTTCAAAGGCACGGCGTCTTCAGCCACCACCTGCCCTTCCCCTCCCCAGCTCTGGGAAACACACTCTGTCCCCAACCCAGTTTCTTGGTGCAATCTCCTAGATCTCCTGGAATCTCCAGAGCAACAGAGTGTCTTCTGTGAGCTCAAAAGGTGACTGACAGCTGGGTACCGCTGGATAGTTTCACGGGGAGACTGGTCACCCCAAATACACTGCAGCCTCACCAGCCTCCAGGGAGGTCCAAGGGGCTGGAGGTTGAGTTGGTCACCAGTGGTCGGGGGCCAGCCATGCCCACGTGTTGAAGCCTCAAGACCCCAGAAGGACAGGGTTCGGGGAGCTTCTGGGCAGCCAGACACACAGAGGTTCCAGAGGGTGGCGCACCCAGGGAGCGCCTGGGAGTCCGGGCCTGTCCCACAGCCTCACCCTCTGCACCTCTCCTCCCCTGTCCATCGCATCCTTTGTCTATCCTTGATAATAAACTTTTTAGGTAAACATAACAAAAGTGTGAGGCCCTCTCCCTAGCTCCTCAACCCCAGCAGGGTCAGAGCTGGCCAGGCAGACGCGAGGCCACATCCTGGGGATTCATATGGGAAGAGGGGGAGTCTGGAAGTGAGCCCTCAGCCCATGCCATCTCATGTTGTCTCCATGACAATGGTGCCAGGAGGTGCCCAGCTCATGCCTGCTTCAAGATTGCTTGCCTGCTGTTGGGGCATGTGAAAGTCGGTGACCCCAGGATGAAATCCCTCTTCTCAGGCCAGGCAGAACCAGAGCCAGGAGGTAACAGCTGGGAAGGGCTCCTCGCTCGTTCCTGTACCTGCTCAAGGAATTCCTCAGAGCCTCACAAGAGATCCCCTGTTCTACACGCCCCGGGCTTTGTGCGCCTGGCACGCGTCCACACAGGTCCCTGCACAGGTCACCTTAGCATTCTCTAGGACAGGGGCAGCTCAGACGAGAGGCTCTGGCCGGAGCACAGCAAAGGCCCCTGCACCAAAGCCCTGACGCCAAGTCCTGGGGGGTCTCCGAGACCATGGAGCTCTGGATCCAAGCAGCTCCCGAGCTTCTCCCCCACCCCCAGCCTCCTCAAGCGAGAGCCCCCAGTTTGCCATTGCAACACTCCGTTATTCCAAAATAAGACCACTGTTCTTGGGGGAGTGTCTCCCGGTTATTTGGATGGACAAGAGAGCCCTCGGTATTTAGCGGAGCAGAGGCGGGGCTGTGTTGAGCCGTGGCAGAAGGAAGCACAACTTCCCCCTCCAGGAATCTGCCTCCCGTCCTCACTGCACAGATGTCCCCACTCTGCCCTTTCCTGGGACAGCACTGGAGGACAGGGTCTGTGTGTGTGACACCTTTCACTCAGTGTTGTTGCGAGGGTCCCCATGCGGAGCCAGGTGGTGGGGCCGGGTGGCGTCTGCCCTGGGCGCCTGGCCTGTTGTCCCTGGGCTGCCAGGCGAGGACATTTGGGTAGTTTCCACGGCTGCTGTGAACAGTGCTGTGAGCGTCTGTGGCCTATGTGTGTGGGCGAGCCCCACTGCCCTTGGGTGTATGTGCCCAGGGGCTCCTCTGTGGGGCATGTGGTAACTCTGGGCTTCTCCATTCAGTTAATGGTTTGCCAGACTAGAAAATCCAGTCAGAGCCTCGGGAGGACTTCTGAACTGTCGAGCACTTTTAAATTCTTCTGTGGGCACTGGAGTCTTGGGCTCCTTGGAATGCCTGTTCACTTGGTTTCTCGCAGGTGTGGCCAGCTGCCCGCCCGGCGGGCGGCGTCCTTCCCTGCCGACCTCCCTGGCACCCTAGCTGGCACGCGCTCCCTGCTCCCCGCTCTTGTGCCCACTTGGGCGCCGCGAGCATGGCGGCTATTTGCTCTCTGGGTGAGGTGGGCGCTGGGGCAGTCCCCCTCCCGTGGGCATCTGTTTATTTTCATGAGAAGGCTGCCCGGCGAGAGCACGGGAGGCTGGGGGAAGGGCCTGCAGCCTGCTTCCTGGCAGGACTTACCTGGGGAGGGACCGGGTCGCCGACTTCCCTCACTGTCTCTGAAACCAGGAGCCCGAAACTTAGCCCAGGGCCTGGTGATTAAATATTTGCTGAGCGAGTGAGTGGGCAGCTTCCACACACCCTCCTCCTTAACTCCCGTGTCCACCCTGAGACAGCGATCGCCACGGAGGTGGCCAGCCCATTCCCACACCTCACGGGCACAGCTCCACTGTGGCCTGAGGGCTCTGGGCCCTGTGGGCAGGCTGGTGGCCTGCAGGAGCTGGCGGCAGAGTCTGCCCAGGGAGGGGCAGGCAGGGCCTGAGTGGCCCGGAGGCTCCTGGGAGAGCTCAGCTAGGGGAGCGGGAAGCCCAGGACCGCGGGTTGGCGTGGCTGAAGGTGTCAGAAGCACCCAGCCAAGGGGACAGGTTTCCCATGAGCAGTGACGGAGCTGTGCGTGAGACAGGGGGCCCCACCCTAGCTGACAGGTTGCAGCGAGGCCTGTCACCGCAGTGCCACCTCCTCCAGGAGGCCCCTCCCTCCCCTGGGCCTCCAGAGCCTCCCCGTCTCTCTCCCTGAGACTTCTGGACTCCCCCTCTGGGCACCCACTCTGCTTCCAGCCCAGCTCCCCTTCCCGCCGGCTCAGGAGCAGTGCCGGCCTGGAGGTCACTAGGTCCTATCTCTGGGCTGACCTTTCAGGCCCTGCGGTCTGGCTGGAGCTGGGAGGACTGGTGGTAGAGGAGGGTGCTGGAGTGGGTGTCGCTGGGGACGGCCTGGGGTGAGGAGGCCACAGCTTGGAGGAGGTGGGGGGGCCAAGGCTTGGTGGACCCATCGCTTTAACCCCAAGCCTGGAGTGCGCCGCGGCTTTCACTGGACGACTTGTGCTGGGTGGTGGCCACAGTTTATTGGGGGTTTGTGGGGACTGTGGTGGGGGAGATGAAATACAGGGAGGGGTGCTTAGGCATGCACTRCAGCGGATGGAGGCAAGACTTCATGCAGGATTTCCTCAGGAAGAGTGAGTTTGGGGAGGTGTGGGCTGGCCAGTCTGAGAGGGTCTACAGGGGCTAGGCCAGGGTAGGGAACATGGTCTGTCAGGCTGGACATGATGGAGGAGAGTGGTCAGTCATGGTTACAGAGGCTGGACTGGCAGCAGGCAATGGAGACATGGGGTCCCAGGCCCAGGCTGGGGACATCAGGGCAGCCCTTGTAGCACATCTTGGTGACCAGAGGCAGGTCCTGGAAGCTGATGGGGGACCCTGGGGAGGCAGGAGAGGGTCCCTGAGGCTCTGAGCAGCCCGAATCCCCTCGTCCCACCTGCCCCTGAGCTCAGGGTCCCATCCAGATTCATCAGAAATATGGGCCACAGCGGACATGTTCAGCCCCAGTCTGGACCCTGTCCAGGGCAGAGTCTGACAGATGTCCCCACTCTACCTCAGACTGTGGGCACCTGGGTCTGCTCTTCCCCCTCTGAGCCTGGATCTCCAAACCTGGGCCAGACAGCTGTAGCCTGCCCCCCGCCCACTCACGGGTGGCCATGAGCACACAGTGGGTGGAGCCCCGGGCACTCACGGGTGGCGATGACCACACAGTGGGTGGAGCCCCCCGGGCAGCTGGACACGTGGGAGCAACCTCCGAAGCCTTTGCACAGGTGGCACCGCAGGCCCTGGGCTGTAGCTGCAGACAGACAGACAGACGGGGCACAGGTGGGTGCCTCCTGCAGGGCCACACCCATTCTCCCACCCTCAGGCCAGTCCCTAGCTTGGTGGCCCAGTCCCCCGTCCCATCCTGCGGTGCCAGTCCCCATGGACCTTGGGGCACCCTGTTCCAGGTCTCTGGGGGCTGGTGAGAGGCGGGTGTTCAGCCCGCCATTGTGAAGCTGCTCATCACAGGGTGCAGGGGACCACGTCGCAGCCAGCTGGCCTGCCTCCCTCTGCCAGGACACCACGCAGGAGTGGCGCTTTGGGGGAGTGGGGAGGGTGGGCTTTTGGGGGGAGGCGTGGCAGGGTGGGTGGCGGGCGCCTGGCTGTGCTCTCTGGCCATGCCCACCTGCGCCTCTGGAGACCCAGGCAGACCCTTTAGAGCCGGGGGCTCCGATCTGGGGGCTGAGATGATGGGCCTTGCTGCTTAGGAGGGGACCCCTGGCCAGGCCGACTGAAGGAATGCAGGGCGGACTAAGCTCTGTTTGCCTGTTCCTGCAAATGGGCGTCCTTGTCCCGGCTGCCCTGCCCTTGGCTGTCGCCTCCCRATGCCCCTGCTCTCCACTCCTGCCCTCTGCCCCTGCCCCAGGCCCTGCATCTGCTTCTTAATCCCCAACTCCCTGTCTCCCTCCTCCCTTCTCCCAAGGAAAGCAGAGTTGTCCTGGTGCTCAGGGGCCTACAGAGGGCCAGGCCCCACGCCACGCTGGCGCCCACGGCCCCTCCTGGTCCCGAGCTGGCTCAGTCCTGCTGTGCTCCAGGGAGCTGAGTCGAAGCCTGGGCCCCACACAGCCCTCCTGATGCCCAGCTGGCCAGGCGCCCTCCCCCAGTCCTGAGGTCAGCAGCAGCCCAGCACCCCCAGGGCTAGTGTGCGGGGACGCTCAGCCCTGGGCCTGTGCTGGAGCCTCAGCCTGTGCACATTGAAGCAGTGGCAGTAGGACACCCCAACAGGGCCCCTCGCAGCTCAGTGGTCTACCAGGACGGTGGAGCAAGCCGAGACCCTGTCCAGGAGCAAGAAGGCCCAGGCACCTCACCTGCCCGAGCTGCTCAAGCTACCCAGAGAGCTTGGGCTCCGCTGCCAGACGGTGAGGCCAGGCACCGCTGGGTGTTTGAGGGGTGTCCCTCAGGCATAGGACCCTCAGGTAGGCAGTGGGCCGAGTGTGCAGGCTGCCACACCCACCCTCATGGCAGGGTCCCAGGCCCTTCCCCTCTGACCTCTGCTGCTGCATATACCTGTCAAGTGTCAAAGGTTCGGGTCTAGACAAGACCAGCTCCTCCAGGTAGGCCACCCAGATTTCCACACAGGAGTATTGGTGCCTCCTTTGGCACACCAGCCCCAGCTGAGGGCTACACTGGTGGCACCGTGTTCGGGACTCCCCCCCTCACCAGACACGAGGCCCTGGGGCTCTCTTCCTGCTCCTCAGTGTCCCCCAAGGCATCCACCACACAGCAGCCCTCCTCCACACCCAGTGAGGCCAAGAGAGGCCGACTCTGGGTGGAGGCTGGTCATCAAGGAAAGAACGGTCATGTCCCTTATGGGGTTTGTCGTCAGCCGTAGGCAGTGCCCAGTGGGACACTGCCTTCAGGATGGAGTGTGGGGTCCCGGGGACAGAGCCAGAGCAGGGCCTGCGCCTGAGCAGGGGGTCTGGGGAGGAGGGAGGAGAGCCGATGGGTGGGCTCTGGGGGCAGAAGGCCTGTGGGCGCTCAGCGCCTCCCTCCGGCCTGATGTGCTCATCTGACGCGGGGGGCGGGCAGACAGCCCCTCCTGGGCCACCATGAGTTCTGCGGAGATGGCACTGCCATGTGTGACAGAGCAGGTGCCCAGTCACACAGAGGACACGGGCACCAACTCTTCGTCTGTGACCAGATTGGGCTCTGTTCCTCTGGGGCAGGGGCAGGGAGGGCCCAGGGCGCCCTCCAGTGGGGATGCTCTGGGGTAGGAACCCTGGACAGTGCAGCTGCCCCTGGAGCCCCAGCCTGACAATGGCAGAGGCTTCCCCTCACTCTGAGCTCGATCCCAGGAGGCCTGTGGGTCTGCCCTGATGACCCGGTCAGACCCCCAGGATCAGTGGTGTGGCCTCTCCCGGGACAGAAGGTCCCTGTGGGGCCAGGCCAACAAGGGTGTCTCTGGGGATGGGGACATCTGGATGGGTGCCGTCTAAGGGGGCTCTGTGGCCCCAGGGCCTGCCCACCCACAGATGGGGACACTGAGGCTTTGCCAGTGGGGCCGCAGGAACCGGGGCTGGTGAGGTTTGGAGGCGAAGGAGCTGGTGGATCACGGGTTGGCTGGTTCTGTCCAGCTGCCAGACGGAGAGGCCAGGCACCTCTGTTTGAGGGGTGTCCCTCAGGCATGGGACCCTCAGGTAGGCAGTGGCCAGCTGCTCCAGGCTGGGCAGGAAGATCCAGTGGAGGGGACGAGGGAAGGCAGAGCCAGAGGAGATGACCCGAGGTCAGAGGGGGAGGGCATCAGGACAGGGTGGCCTCAGGAGACAGGCCAGCTGGGCCGAGCCCGGAGAGCTGGAGCAGCCCCGTGCTGAGTGGCCGTGCACCTGCTGATGTGTGCTTGAGGGGTCACCGTGGAACTGAGGGGCTTGGGGTGGGTGGGGGCAGAGGGGGCTGCAGGCAGAGGCAGTGCCCGAGGAGTGAGGGGCCAGAGGGAGGGCGCACAAGGGGGAGCAGCTCGTGGGCCCGGAGGGTGGGTTTCAGGAGGAAAGCTGTGAGTGCCGCCGGTGGGTGGAGGGGCCAGGTCAAGGGCTCCCCAGGGGTACTCTGTCCAGGGCTAGTGGTGGCCAGACAGGAGGGAGGCGTGGGAGGGGAGGAGGGCTGGGGGTGGGCTGACCCCGGACTCACCCAGCGCCAGGCTCAAGACCACAGCCAGCAGGAGCCAGAAGCGGAGCTGCATGTTCTCCTGGTGAAGGGGAGGCCTGGCGCCTGGCGTGCCCTTATACCTGACTGCTCCCACCCCGCCTGGCCTCCCGGCCACGGGCTCCCAGCTCTGAGTCACCCAGCACCCAGCTCAGCCAGGAGCTGGGCTGGCTCAGGCAGTGGTGGAACCAGCCTGCCCCAGATGTGCCACGGTCTGTCCTCTAGGGAGCCTGGTGGGAGCCCGGAGCCTGCGTCCCTGTCCACTGCTGTCAGGATCCAGGCTGTGGCAGGGGCTGGCGGGGGCGGGGCGCTCTCCCCGGCGGCTGGGGCACCCCTGGCGCCATGAAGTGCAGCTGAAACTGAGGGTGGCTGGAAGCCAGAGCCTTCCTCAGCACCCACCCAGAGGGCGGCTGGTGCCAGATGGGCCTGCAGACCTGTGCGACCTCCCAGGGGCCGAGGAGAGCCAAGGGAGCCTGTGGTGGGTCTGTCTCCAGGAAGCAGTGAGCAGCCAGGCCGGCGCTGTGTGGTACAGGGATGGACCGCGAACGGGCCCCGCGGGGTGGGTGGGGCAGAAGGCCCTGGGTGTTCAGGGGCCCGAGATGGGGTAGCAGCCAGAAGAGTCACACTGCAAGGAAGGGGCCATTCTACCAAACGCCAGTGAGGACAGGGGTGCGGGGGCTCTCACGGGAGTTGACCCTGCTGACCGGCACCCTCTGTCTGGTGGCCTTCCTTGGCTGGGGAGGTGGGCCCAGAGGAGGGAGATGCTGAGATTCAGCCCCTCTTCCTAGGGGAGGTGGGGAAACAGGTCAGGAACAGAAGAGGGATGGGAAAGAGCAGGTCCTGAGCTCCCGGCCCCCGGCCTCCCCCAGGGCTTGTGGCTCCTCAGAGCTGCTGGGTCTGTCCCTCTCTCATGGAACTGGGGGTGATTCCCAGGGAGCCCCAGGAAACTTCTTGCCCCCCACCCTGTGCCTGGGTGGGTCCCAAGGTCAGATCAGGCCTGGAGGAGAGGAAGGAAAAACTGGAGATGGAAGGGCTGGGGTAGACAGAGGCAGGACCACCCGGGCCAGGAGACCCCACCAAGCAGACTGGACAGGCGAGGCTGGGCTCAGGCCAGCTTGTCGGAGGGAGAGAGGGGCAGACACATGCCTCTGTCCATTTATTCATGCATTCCACAGGGGACACTGACAGGCCCTCTCCTGGGGGCTGGGTGTGTGTGCTCAGTAAGGGGGACTGTGGCACAGGGGTGGCAGTTCACATCCTGGCCAGGTGCGGGTTGGGACTTAGGGTTCACGTTAGCTGCTGGCAGGCACATGGCCCCAGGAAGCTCCTGGACCCTAGGGAGTTAGGAGGGAAGGGCACCACCCATCTGGGGCCCCTGTGTCCAGGCCCCAGGCTGGAAACTTACACCCACGGCCGTCTGGTCAATGAGATGGCTGAGGTTTGGAGCTATGCTGAGAAGCCCAGAGTTCTGGGACCCACAGAGTGTGCTAGGGAAGGGATGGAGTGGCGAGGAAGGGGACCCTCCATTTCTGTGTGTCTTCAGAGTTGGGGTTGGGAACACACATGCCCTGTGACAGGCACTGAGAGGAAGCTGGGAGGTGCAGCTGCCAGTCGCCTCCCTTCCCACCTCCAGTTCCTGGGGAGAGTCCAGATGTCACGGCAGGGCCTGGCCTGCCACAGTTCCACCTCACAGCCTCTCTGCGACAGGGCCAGACCAGGCCCACAGCTGCCGAGCATGCCTTTTGCTGCTGGTTCAGGTCTGGCCTGCAGGCGGTGGCCAGAGCTGCAGCTAGACAGGGGGTCTAGACAGCTAGACAGGGCCACGGAGAACACACAACACTCCTGGCACCACAGTGTCATCCGTAGCCTGTCTCGAGGCTGGGACTCCATAGAGAGCAGCAGCGAATAGCCCTGAGCACCCTCCTACATGGGAGGGGCTCTTATTTCTCCCAGAGCAGGGACATCCACTGCCTGGCCTGCAGACCTGAGCCCAGACACAGGCAGGAGGGCCAGCCCTTGGTGCCCGGTGGCCCTCTGCCCTCCTCTGCCTGTTCACCGCCTTCCCCTTCACAGCCGGTTGCAGGACTGGATCGACGGGCCTGTGGCTTCTCAAACCTATGGTTCCAATTTTCCCTTCCAAGCTTTCCTGCTGCCTAGGTTCTTACATAACATGGCAAGACTCTGAAGGTTCTAAGCACTCCACCCACTCCCAGGCCTGGAGGAGCAGCCTGTGGGGAAGAACCTGCAAGGTGGCTGGGCTGTGGGCCTGTGGGAGGCCAGCTGGCCTTGGGGCAACTAATGGCTTCCCCTCTCGGGGCCTCAGTCTCCTCACCTGTTGGGGCATGGCTGTGGCTCCTGCCTTGCAGGCTGCCATGGAGTGCTCAGAGACAGCTGCAGTGGGAGTGGACAGGATCAGGACAGGCCAACCCCCAGCACTGCTGTCCGAGTTCCCCAGTATGCAAGCCGTCGCTGCCCTCGGCCAGCCTTGGCCCAGAAGGACACCTTCCACATGCTCTGTACTAGGTCCCAGGGACAGGCCAGGCAGGCAGGACCCTTGGCTGTGGAGGTGGCACGGGCAGCACAGCACTAGGGTTGAGGGCAGTGTGGTCACTGGGCTGGGGCAGGTCAGGGGAGGAGACATGGACAGATAGGAGGCAGGTCTGAGCAGCTGCCCTGCAGCATTCCAGCCACCCTGGGGAGCTACRAGAGCAAAGGAAGGACCAGCCTGGGGCCCCACCCAACTGTCTCAGGATGCCATCTGACTGGGGACAATGGCCTTGCACAAGTGGGGTAGTGACAGCTTCCTGGGCCATTCCCATGGAGTCAGGGCCCACACCTGTCCCTTGTCCCCAGCCAGTACTTTGAGACCTGCACTGGTCACTACTGTCTTGAGGCTGGCTGCCTGCTGGTGGGGGTCCAGTGGGAGCTCAGGTCAGTACCTGGCTTTCTGCCAGCCTGCAAAGAGGGCCTTGGGGGAAGGAGATGTCAGTTGGAGCCAGGGTGGTCTCTTGGGCTTGGCACTGGCCCCACAGTGTGTGTCCAGGCCTGCCCCCTGTGTGTGCTACTCCTTTCTCTCTCTGGGAAGTCAATATGCTCTTACCCCTGGGCCCCTTCCCACCAGAGTCACCTCTGCAAGAGGTCCACACTGTCCTCCCTGAGGAACTGGCGAGCCCTCAGTGGGACTCCACTTCCCCACTCCAGCTACCTGTCTCCAGAGAAGCTAATGGAGGTGGGAAAATCCACCCCCAGCCCCAGTAGTAGAGCCCAGGCCTGCATAAGGCTGGGGAGAGGAGCCCCAGGAYGGAAGTCCTCATCTCCTGAACACCCCTGGAGGGGTAGTCACAAGCAACGGTCTCAGGATGCAGTGCCAGCAGGCCTCCCCCATGAGGACCATGCTTTGGAGCCAGGGATAATGCTACACATGAACATTGGCCACCACCCTACCCACTTGGGCTGGGTCAGCTTAGGGGTCTCGTCAGCCAGCACTGGTCTGGGGCACTGATCAGGGAGGAAGATCCAGCCCCATCTGGTCTCACTGGAAAGGACAGCTGCTCCCCAGGCCCTCTACAGTTGAACGGCAGGTGTTGGGCCGACCCAGCCTCCCAGATCTGGGCTGGGTGGAGCTCCTGGAGTCAAGGGCTCTCAGGCAGTGGGTGCAGCCCTGGGGGCCTCCCTGGGCACTCCTTCCCTTCTATTGAGATCTAGAGCAATCGGCAGGGCAGAGGGGCCTGCAGGACCCAGGAGGCAGCCTCGGATCCCACTCCTGTTGTCACACTTCACTGTTCCTTGGGTCCTCCTGTTCCCCAAGGCTGCCTGATTTGTGGGCACATTTCTTTCTCTACCAGGGTCACTGGGCTGAGGACCAGGCCTGGGTGGCCTATCTGCCCTGCCCTGCCCAGAATAGCCCTGGCCCTGGTCAGTGCAGGCTAGACCAAATATAGCTTGGCCTGCCCACTCCAAGTCCTGCCAGTCTTGGGCTGATTAAGCTTGTCCAGCACCCGGGTGGGGGTGGGGATGGAAAAGCTAGAGTTCTGGCTGATCCGGAGGGCACAAATCTCTCCTTGGGTCTGTCGAGGCAGGGTGACCCCTCCTATGCTGAGGGCCACTCAGACACCAGGCCAGGCACAGTTCCTGTGACAGCTGATAATGAGAGTCCTTCCTCACATGCCCTGGGCACCAGCTGGCCTCAGTAGGATGCAGGGAGGTCCTGCTGGGTTTTGCATGCCCCACAGTGGGTTCCTGTCTCCCTCCCGCTCCAGCACACCCACCAGCTGCTGCAGGCAGGGTGGAGTCTGGCCCTACTCCCATCAAATCAGTGCTTCTCAGCTGATGGATCTCCCCATAAATAGCACTTTCCCAGATCTCTGTCCCTGGACTGAGGCAGGGCCCAGCCTGCCCACCAAGGCCAGGCACCCATGGGAGGTCCAGTCCCACACAGCAGCTGTTTAAAAATGAAAGCCCAAGGCCTCAGAGGGAGGCCTTGTGGGCGGTGGGAGGCCAGGAGTCCCTCTGCAGACAGCTCTGCATCTGGGTGTGGCTGAGGGGGTCTTGGGAGGCAGAATGTCAGGTGGGGACACCATGTGAGAGCGTGCAGCTGTCTCTTGAGAGCTCTGTCCTCGAGTGGGTTTGCCAGGGGACCAGGGCTTTAGAGCAGGGCCCAGAGGGTGGCCAGGAGAATGGGGGCCAGGGCCAGGGTCCCTGGGGCAGCCAAGCCAGCACCATTACAGAGGTCATACTGGCAGCAGGAGGTGGTGGACGCGTGCTTGGAGTAGCCGTCATACACAGTCTCAAAGCATCTGGGCACACAGGACTTGCTGACCTTCATCTTGTACGGGGTGTAATCTGAAGAGGCAAGAAGGCTTCCTGAGAGGGGAGGGACTCTGCGTGGCTCAATCCCAGCATGCAGGGCCATTAAGCAGACCCTCAGCAGGAACTCCCAGGAAGGACCCTCCCTCCTGTACCCCAATGCTCCGGGGCAGGGACCAGGGTCCGCCAGACTCACAGGTACGTGTAGTCATGCAGTAGGTGACCATGGCCGGGCAGCGCATGGGGTTGAAGCAATTGTCTCCATTGTAGGCGCACACATGGCAGTCCAGAGCCTGGGCTTGGGTCAGGATGAGGGGGTGGTCACAGAACTGGGAGAAGCCCCACCCACTGCCCAGCCCAATCCCTCCCCACCACAGGACAACTGGAAGGAAAGGAAAGGTGGTCACTGGGAATTGTAGCCAGCCTCTCCACTTCCAGCCTGCTTCCCCCAAACATGGGTCTTGCACTCCTCTGGCCCTGGCTATCTTACCTAGAGGCAGGCCCACCAGGGCGGCCAGGAACAGCACCAGCAGGGGCGCCATGACTGGAGGCCAGCGACAGTGTGGTGGTGGGGAGGTGAGCAGCACCAGTCCCAGGTCCAGCTCAGGAGGGGGACAGCCCCTGCCCTCCCAGAGCTCCAGGCCAAGAGAAGGGAGGCAGGCTGCATAATTGGTGACAAAGACAGATGGTCAGTGCTGGACAGGCATGTGGTGGGCAAAGGAGTCACCCAACTCAATAGATATCAGGACAGGGTTTCTGGACACTTGCGATTAGAGGCAGCAGAGACAGCACATTCCAACCAGAGACCAGCACTGACCAAGTCCAAGACTGAGGCACAGCCTGGAGGATGAGGGGCAGGGCTAGAGAAGAGTAGGAGAGGCTGGAGGGCCCTGAAGATCTGTACCCTGGACAGGAGCTGCCCTGTGGAAGGCTACAGAAGCCTGGTACACAGCTCCCTCCCCTTAGGTCCCTGGGCCCAGCAGGCAGGGCAGGACAGGACTCGGCCCCAGGAGAGCGTCTCTTCTCACTGGTCTTCCTCTACTTTGCCCCTGGCTGACCCTGTGTTCCGTCTCCCAGGAAGGCCTTTGGAGCCCTGCTTGGACTCTCAGGTCTGAGTCCTTAGCACCGCAGGAGCCCCGGGTCGCGATGAGCTCTGTCCACAACCCAGGGAAATGCACTTGACAGGCCTAGGGAGGGCACTCGGGCAGGCCGGGAGGAAGAACTCCCAGTCCGGGTGATTGGGACGGAGAGGGCCAGTGTCTGGGCAGGGATTTGGCCGGGAAGCCGGGATCTGGACCAGGACTGTCTCTCCCCGCCGCATACCAGGGCCGACCCTGCCCCCAGGGACTAAATCAGACTCCCTGGAAGACACTCCCGTCTTTCCCGACCCATTTCCCAGGCACCCACCCGGGCCTGAGTGAGGCAGGCCTGCGGCTCCGGAGCTTCCCGCCCCCTCTCGGAGAGCCCCGCCCCCAAGACTGCGGCACCAACCAAGGGAGGGCTCCAGACGGGTGTGGTACCTGGTGACCAAGACAGTGACCTTCAACAGCTCGAGACCCCGCCGCGCCAGGAACTCACCCGCGGCCTCTAGCCCGTCCCTCCCCCGGTCTGATGCGCGTTGGTCCGAACTTTCCGCAGCGCTGCTGGTGGTGGTGCATCACCGGCCCCGCAAGCTCCGCAGCCCGGGCTGAGCGGAGCGAGCGCACAAATGGCCCCGCCCCGTCCTCGCCCTGTTCCCGCCCCCAATGCCGCTCCGCCCCGCGAGCTCACCTCCGGCGCCATCCCTGTCCGGCCCCGGTACCACCCCGCCCCGCGAGCTGCCCGCAGGCCCCACCCCAGGCCCGCCTCCGTCCCTCCGAAAGCCCCGCCCCGTGCCTCTCTGGCCACCCTGCTCATCACAGACCCACCCCGTCCCCACCCCCTGCTCCGCCGAAGGCCCCGCCCCCGGCCCCTTGCTTCTCTGCCCCACCATAGGCCCCGCCCCGCCCCGCCCCGTGCCTCTGCCCCCTCACCATAGGCCCC